CTTTCTATGTATATTTCTGCTATTTTATGTACTGTATTAATTCAAATCTGGAGAGATTAAACATTTATTCTGCAATTTCGCGCCATTTCGGCTCAACTTGAATCGCGCGGACAGCAGTGAGCGCATTGCGCTTCGCGCCAATCAGCCACTCGCCGCGCGTGAAACGAAATGATCGCGCGACGTTTCCGCCACCTTCGATCGCTGCACGGCGAGCAAAGATGTGAAGCGCTTGGCGGGACACAGCTTCACACTCCGCCAAATTGAACCACGCTAGTGTTTCGGAACCCCATCCAACATTTTCGACTTCTACATGCGTAAAATCGATAATCATTTATGATGGTTATCGATTTTACGCGCTTCATCAGATCATTATGGTTAGAAGCATGCGCTAGTGATGACAGCTGAGATGAAAAGAACGTCCAACTAGGAACTTGCTGGGAAAAATGTGCATTATTGATTCACTAGAGAGTTGCGCGCCGTTAGGCAATGACGCGACGACGCGCGCGTTTGCCACGCGTGACACTTGGGCGGCAATTGTAATCAGCAACATCACTTCAACTTTCCTCACCCTTACTCTCGGCACACGTTATTTAGCCGTGCCTGCACATACGTTTAGCGAACGCTTCAAGGGCTCATGGCGCGATTTCTCGACGCCTGGCACGCGACCAATGTCGCCGCGATGTGACCTAATGACAAACTCCATTCAAAATACTATTTTACAACGATTTAGTTGAATTATTTTCAGATGAGAGCAGTCCTGATCGACCGGTTCTGTTTCTCCAACACGGCGTGTTCTCGGATAGTTTCGCTTGGACGGGGAATCTGGCGAACGAGTCGGCTGGTGAGCCAGTTTTCTACAATTTTGTGTTCATAATACTCGAGTGATAGTGATACTGATCGGTGAAAAAACCACGATACTTGAGAATATTAATAAACAATAAACAATAAACAATAAACACAATGGTGAAATTTAGCGTTTGTCTTTGCCGACGCCGGCTTTGATGTGTGGATGGCGAACTCACGGGGCACACCTTCATCACAGAAGCATATCGGTTACGGACCAGACGAGGCACGATTCTGGAATTTCACGTAAGCTTCTATTGAATCTGCTTTTATTAACGTTCTTAGGCTCTAAAGGCGCGGTAAACAGAAGTGAAACGAAAAAAAAAACAGAGCAAAGTCAGGCTTCCAGATAATTACATGAAATTTTAAAAACTGCCCTGAATGACCTTTCAAGGACTTAAAGGCAGTGAGCACGACAATTTGATGCTGACGAATCTGAAAGTAATCATATCAACTCCAACGGCGCGGCTCCCGTAAGGGCAGCTTAATCCTTGGCTGAGGCATACACATGCCTGAAGAAGGTGTTATACACCGAAATATCGCAGAAGATTTCAAAGGAATTCTTTTGAATTTTTTCTTGTTTTTTGGAATTTTTGGAGTTTTTTCGAATACTTTGTTTTACAAGTTGAGGTGCGAGTTGGTGCGATAGTGGGAAACGGTAAGAAGAAGGTTTAATATTATCGAAATCGGGCCCTTACCTCTTTGGAAACTTTGGACGAGTTTATGGTTTAGAAACGAATAATTGGTTATGGGTACCTTTATAATCGATACGACACGAAAGACCTCAAGATATGCCCGTTTATTGCGATTTTCACTTCCAAAACGAAAAGCTCGAAGCTAATGGCAAGAATATCGCAACGGTCAATCACCATCCCTGAAATCGGGGCAATATCGAAGAACGGGGAGGGGGTCAATTTTAAGTTGGAAGTCTATCTACGTTGCAACGAAATGTCACACCCCTTTTCCATTGCCGTCTAGCTGCTGCTTCCACTGACGTATATACCTAGCTGAAGATGCCCCCCCATTTCCCGTAGTCGCTGCCTCTAAGGGGCACCAAAACCTTACATCAGTTGACTATCAGAAACTACGATACAAAACGAGGAACAGTGCAGAACGGTAGAGTCGGGTACCATTTCCTGATAAATTATGCAAAAACGTGATGATTATGCTGCACGATTATTGATTTCTAGGTGGCAAGATATGTGCACTTTTGACTTGACATCCTCGATCGACTATGTGCTGAACACTACGAAAACAGGTAGCCTAATCGTCACAAAACGAACTGTTCATAGACAAACATTCCATAATTTTTCACCAGAGCCTTCATAAAATCCTACTCTTTTAGGAAAGTCTTTACTTTGTCGGTCATTCCCAGGGAACTGTGCTCATGTTTGCCAAGCTCGCAGGAGATCCAGATTACGCCAAAAAGGTGAGCTACACACCCCATAAGGCAGCGATCACGATGGCTGG